CCAAGCAGCAGGAAAGCTGATGTTTCAGGTCAGGACGCTTTTCAGAAATGGGGGAGGGTCCAGACCCGAAACATCAGCTTTCCTGCTCCTCTGATGCTGCTTGGCCTGCTGTGTTCATCCAGCTCTACACCTTGTTATTTCATGTTCTTCTAAGTTACTTCTGATTTACTGCTTGAAGCCACGGTAACTGTCCTGGAGGAATGACTTCACTGACTGTGATCCATTACAGGTTTGCAATCGTACTTCTGAAGGTTTCTTCTCTGAGGTTTTTCTTTTAAAACTCATAAACAATTTCACCAGAACTACTAACAGTTGGCTTGGTTTGAACCATCCGAGTAGCTCAGTCTGGAGTTATGGCTCTGAATTCTAGGTTGATGTCCAGTAGGATACTCACATCTGATAAGGGTGGAAGCTCTCTTTTCTTCAGTTGTATGGATTTTAGGCACTCATTAGAGCGATAAAGAATTAAATACCCAACAGCTGGCATAAAACAATGGCCGTGGAAGGAGTGTTAGGGGTTGTGGCCTGTCAGATTATTAACCTGCCAGTGAATATTTTCACTTCTTCCAAATATTCTTCAAGAGAACAAAGACATAGAACAACTGCTCAGAGAAAATTGCTAAAAGGGTACTTATAATGTTTCTACTCATAGCAATTAAAACACTTATTGTCCTCATTTATCCCTACCTATTTCTCCCAATGAAACTGAAATACCAAGAATGATTTGGTAGCATCACATCAGAAAAAAAATGAGGAGTTGGGGCCAAAAATGGATTTAAGCAAGGCCAGTTTCAGCTGATTAATACCTCTCACTTCTTTATGATCCAATAATATCTTTCTATATCTTGATGGTAACAACCTCCCCCTCCTCCCACTCCACCACAATTTACTTCCTTGTTTGGTGTATTCATTTAGCACTATGTTGTATAATTACATAGGTTTGGCAAGATAACAATATGGCTGTACTGCATAGGTTTCATATTTTGATTAAATATAGTGCTTGATTGATCTGGTCTTACAATTTTGAATTATGACACATTTTGTCAAGGGTACAATTTTGGGCAGACCTATATAAAAATATAACGCAGTCACCGTGCAAAGGAGCAACGTCACTAATTGGCAGGGTCCTAATATAACTGCAAGCCAAATAGCATATCTCAGAGCAAAGTCTCTCAATATTCGTAAAACATTATACTGCTGTACCATAACCGAAATAAATAACAACTTGCAGCTTCCTTATGATTTCATTTTATTACAGGTGATGTTCTTCCTTATGCAACACAATCTCTGATAAACTAATCATAAATTTGGATCCATTAAGCCTTAAGTATCTTTATTTGAATTCAGCAAGATGCACAATGGTTATAATGTGTGGATTTTGGCAAAAGATATATTACAATTTGTTGGGAATGTATATAGGCATCTGTCCATATTATTGCATCATAAAGAAGTGTTAATCAGTAATAAGTATTAATCAGCTGAAAGTGGTCTTGCTCAGATCCATTTTTCATCCTTATTTCTCTCTCCTTCTCTTATGCGATTCCACGCATCCATGATGCAAAAATAGCTTGTGAGACCATCCACGTTTTTTTTGCATAAAACTTGCGGCTGAAAAGTTGGATCATGCTAACCTTAAAAAGAACATTAACATCAATCCTGTAAAAAGCAAAACCATAGGACAGGAATCACAATGTAACTGTCTGTTTTTGGTCCCGAACAGATGCCTGCAACCTTATCAGGTGGACGTTGCCTGGTGTTGGGGAGTGGTTCTAGTGCTGTTCCTGCTGTATGAAGCTAAAGATGCCATTGACAGAAGCACAGGGAATTGATGTCCTGGCCCCCCATTGTTGGTTATCAGGAGATATAGTAAGTCTTGTGTTCATTAGGTAGCACTCCTGCCTCTGAGTCTGAAGATCCAGGTTTAAGGCCCTCCTCTTGTCCTGTTAGACATAGAAGGAACATTCGTGATGCAGCTCAAACAGTTGATACTCAGCCTGCAGATTCTTCCAACAATTCCCCATCCGTTTCCAAAGGAAATTAAATTTAATGTGATGATACTGAACAAACAAGCAAAGGTTGTAAGTCAGTCACAGTCCCAGACTTAGTTTGCCTATCTTAGGTAGCAGCAGGGTCCACCAGTGTTAGGGTGAGGTGTTAAGAAGAGTTTAAAGGTCCATCTTGGGGAGCTATGTGTGCATTCATTCTCCATGGCAAATGTAATTCTGCAGTGAAAGTGCAGAACATGCAATATTGGTAAAAGTGTCTATATAGGTCTCCAGGGTGCTCTCTTGAGCCAGTGTTAGACCCTTTGGGTATGTGCAAGTAGGAGGCCTAACAATTGGAGGGGTGGCAATCAAGAGAGTTTATTTTAGTAGTACCCTAACATGAAGTTAGGAGCTTCACCTGGTTCTACTATAATTAAATAAAACTTATCTTTTGGCATCTTTGAAAATGTTTGGTTTGGCTGCCAAGTACCTGACAATACTAAACAACCCTTGTTTGTGCAGGCTATGGTCGCCTACAAACAAATTTTGCAAAGAGAACCTCAAACAGATGTTAAGCCTTCAATTTGCATGCAAAGTGCCAAACACTATTTCATGTGTGCACCTGGGTATCTATTTAGATATCTTGCATGCTGTGCATTTGTAATTCTTTAATGATGTGGGTATGCCTTCTGCCATATTGGCCCTTAGACACCCAATTTATGGTTATAAAACAGGCATGGCCTGATCCAATTTCTAGCTCTGCACTTTTACAAAATGTGTTGGTGAAAGTGATATCACAACATTGACCCTGCAGCTGATTAGATTCAGGAAGCACAGGAAGATAACATGGATTTTGCAGTACAACATGTGTTACTGCTTGACTGTTTTAAAGTTCATTCTTTTCACAGAATCAACAAAATCCCTCCAACTGCTACAAGATTAACAGGGTCAGCTTCATGACTGTGATTAATCATAGCATGTGACTTGGTATCTCCCACAAACAACAGCCTTTCCAGCAGTGCATATGTTCCTGCTATTCTGGTTGATCCCACATTTACAACTAACCTGTCGATTTCAAATAAAGCTTTCTTCCCGACCCCCCACTCCCAACCCCACCCCCACACCTTTCTGAGGATTTAGACAGCCGATATGTTCTCCATTGTCTAGTTTTCTTCCAAGTATACAACAGAATTATCTAAACAATATGCTGTGTGAAATACTGAACTCTGCATGGTGCATTGTGAGAAAATAAAGGATTGTTATGCGATTTTCATTTATAGCTTCTGGTGAGGTGTTGACTTTTTTAAATCAAATATAACACAACATTTTTTTTAAAAAGGCAACCAAAAGAAAACCTGTCTTTAGGCAATGGTTCATCAAGACCATTGTAACCACAAGCACGTCTTTGACAGGTGTTACCAAATCTCTCGTGAAATTTTATCTCGAGTTTTATTTCACTAATCTTCAATCAAAGAAAGCGTGGTTGTTCTGCTTTGTGGACGAGCCAATTATTTAACAAAGTCTCACTATGCCCACAGCTCAAGTTCCAGCTCTCCTTGGACAAGAGGACAAATTTCTCATGTCCTTTGGGAAGACTGTGTCTGCACACTAGGTTAGGTGTAGCAAAAGCAGAGACCTGTTTAAGGAGAATATATAACAATAATTTCAGTACGCATTCAGTGCACAGCAGATTTTTGCAAATCTGGAAAGATAGAAACTTTTCAAACCACAATCCCATTTATTCCACCATATTAAAATTCCAACAGTGTAAAAAAGTTAGTTATAATGATGCTGTGTAAATGCCAAGGAAATATAATTATCAAATGAGATGACAGTTTTGAATTTCACATAAATTTTTCTTCATTGATTTTTGGCTATAACCCAACTGCTCGTGACATGTTAGCCACTCCCGATGAGGAAAGCACTGTGTAACATGCAACAGCCGTTGTTCAAGAATTTTTTTTTAAACATCCTGCAGCTATACATGCACAGATGGGCAAAGTCAGTGTGGGCAGTTTGCCCTGCCTCAGTACTTACTGTTTGCTATGGATTTAAGGCACACCCCAGTCCCCAGAAAGTTAATTGTGTCTTTTCCCCTGAAGCAAGTGCCTTCTTCTGCTGCTACATTCATGTTTAGTCTTGTCCTCTGCAATAATATATCATTGTGCTGTTAAGTATTAAGATTGTGGCAAAGGGTTTCAATAACACACAGAGAATGAAGAATTTTAACCAGCCTTCTAAAAGAATTCTCACTCTCCAAAGGAATTTAAATAAATGAACTTATTTAGTGTTTGAAATAAAGCAGCAAATGTTAAGTGCCAAAGTGTCAAATTACATTTAGCTCAATAATGAAAATGCCTCCAAGCTAGATCCAAACTTAGATTCCCAACATCTCAATCAGATTAGACCAGCATTCCATAAAGCGTTGCAAACTAAATTTGTTTACAATTTATGTATTTAGTACTTAACTGAACAAAAGTCTGCAAGATTTTCTAACCACACACTTTGAGCTGAATTTCCTTTCTAGGGGCTGAATTCTGCCATTAGAATGAAATGCAGACCGGGAAACAACAGTGGGCAATTTAGTAGGAGACAGCTAAATAAGTGGGCCGTCTCTTGGAGCCCTGTCCAATTTTGTACAGCAGGTGGTCAATAGGAGACTGGCACAGGTGGTTGGTGCCAAAGTGGGTAGCAAGGTGGCTCCATTCTCAATCGCTGGCCACAAAATGGTGATGTAAGAGGACATGGAAAGTTAGCACCATCATTTCAGACGGGAATAGCTCCCGAGACTCACAGTAACAGCTCAATTTTCAAAGTGATACCATCCAAATAGGATAGAACCAGGCAGCTGCCAGGCTTTCAGGGTCAGCCTTCTGATCTGACCAGTACTTAGTGTGCAGGGTTCAAATCTAGCCAGGGTTGAGATAGTGCCTTGAAAGAGTCCTTAAGAGGCTAAGAATACAGGACAATGGTGTTGCATCCAAAATCATGGAGTTGTTGGGGGATGTTGAAACCTGGTTATTCAGCTTCACAAAATTGTACCATTGCCATCTCCAATCCTGCCTTCTCAGCCAAACAAAGATTCAGCCTCTTGTTTCCTCATTTAACAACAAACTGATTGTCAAAAGTCTGTTCCATGAGAGAGCTTACTACCTGCTATGACAGCTTTATGTCACTAAGTAAAAGCTGTGCTTACACTCGAATTTCTTATTGGTAGCAAACGGTATTACATATCTGTGGTGGTACTTAACTACCACAAGTGTTTCTTGCTCTATTGTTGATGATCTCAAAGTATTATTAATGGTATTAATAGTGGAGTTTACATATTTATAAATATTCTTAGTATCTTTTAAATATTTAGAGGCGCAAAGCTAACAATCACTGTTGAACTTGTTCTAGAAATGGAAAGAGAGCAAATGGTACAGCAAATGCTTGGAATTTCCTGTTGGATTCAGGATTCCCAAATGGTTTGGTCTACTGGCCTGAGAACAGCGCAGTTGGCAGGAGTACAGTAATCATTTGCAATATATACTTTCCTCATGGTCTCATTGTAGTAAAAGAACATTTAATGTGTTGGAACACTTGGATGAATAAATAATGTAGTTCTTTAGAGACTAGTACGAACATTTTTCACTTGAAGTGTAACAAAAATTGCGACACTAATATTCCTTTGCATAGTATATCAATTATGTTCACTGTAGTTTTAAAACAAGTTGAAACTAAACTCTATATCAGGCCAAGAGTAAAGTTCCCCATACATTCACTTTATTCATAGTAGGTTCTTTCAGCGAGTTCTGAAAGGACTCATTGCAGAGCTGTCTATTGCTTTAAATAGTTTGTCTATTAAGTAAGGAATTAGCTAGAAAACTTACCTCATTGTAAGGAATGCAAAACAGAAGTCTGATATTTATTTTGGCAATTCCTAGTCATTCTAAGCATAGTTAAAATAAGCAAAGTTTGAATTGTATATAAAATGGCATTGAACTACTATTGCGGGATTCAGCAACTGCTGTTACAATAGTGACAGTGAATAACTAAAAGATGCACATGTGTGGTATTAATCAGATGTGTGCAAGTTGGTTGGTACATTTTTGGCAGCGAGCAGCATGAGATGTTGTTAAAGGGATGTAAGCATAAAAGAATTGTTGTTATATGTGGAGTTACAGTGAGACAGTTTGTGAGAAACAGGGGCAAGATGAGATGTGTAGAAGAAATCCTTGCTATGGATGGGCATCAATCCATCTTGCTTTTATTTAACAGTTTTTTTTCCAAGAGCAGCATCTGTTTCAGGTTAATGCTATCAAATGTTTCGCTTCTTACATTTGGTTTTGTCTGTTTCTCATCTTCACTTCGCTTGCCCAATTCACCAGACTGTTATCAGTGTTTAAATTATATTTACAGCATGTATGGCTATACAGTACAATGCATAGTTTCAATTATTTTCTCTGTAATAATTTTTATTAGAAGTTGAAAGTTTGCAAGATAGATGTCCAGATGTTCTTCGTGAGACAGCATTTAAGCCCCATCAAAGTACAAGTCAGAAATCTAATCCAGCCAGTATTGAAATAATGATTTCAAAGCATTTGCCTCTTGTTATATGTTACGTGATGATGAGCTCATTGAGTGAATGTCATTCGATCACTTCCATGTATCCTTCAGAGTACCGCATCAATTTGGATCAATCTCATTTCAAAATATGTGTTTCAACAAATTTCAATGTTTCACACTTAAAATGAACACGGTTATCAGATTGGCAAGTTCTCTAGAGGCTCAATTTTTGAAAAACCAAAAGGGACTTGGTAACAAAATCTTAGCTCACAATATAGAATAAGCAATGAAGAGAGTAAATAGGTTTTTAAAAAAATTCCACCGGCTGGAAGATAACCAAATATTTTAAATTTAAGCATTTTAGTTGAAATTGTATTGGGATGTATGCCAGTTAGTAAGGTGTTAATATGCACATGGCAGAGATGCTTGTGGCTCGTGTAACTGGTCATACTTTTTCTCCTATTTTGGACGTAGTTTTGTTCATTATTTTCCTGTTTCCTCCAGTGATGTGCTTCTCATAGAATGGCAGATAGGTGATTTCACACCAGTCTCTGGAATTGTGATGTGAATGACTTATCCTCCAATTACCTTATTTTGAGGATTTAGCTTGGGTCAGTCATAGCACTCTTGATTCAGACTCTGAAAGTTGTGGGTTAAAGGCCCATCCTATTATGCAGAACGGAGAGAGTTCTGCATTGTTGGTGTCATCTTTCAGGTGAAATGTTAAACTGAAGCCCATCTGATTGTTCAGTTGATCATAGCAGATCCCATACCACTTTTCAAGGAATAGCAGTGCCCAAAGCAACAAACGTCCCCCAATAAATACCATCAAAACAAACAAATGATTATTAATTTCAATGTCTCTGCGGAGCTTTGTTGTATGCAAATTGGTTCCTTATATAACATTTATTACTCTTAGAAAGGTAATGCAATGAGTGTTGTGTTTTGAGGAGATGAAAGGCACTATATAAATGCAAATCTTTCTTATTTCAGCCATTAATGCCATTTGGCATTGTTATTTTGGTGACTTTACTGTGAACAAAATTGTATCTCGTCTGCAACAACCAGTCATCCCAATCCAACCTCGTCCAGTTGCCAGCATTTGGCCCCTATCCCTCTAAACCTTTCCTATTCGTATACCCAACCAGATGCCTTTTAAATGTTGTAATTGTACCAGCCTACACCACTTCCTCTGGCAGCTCATTCCATCCACACTGCATGATAAAGTTTTCCCTCAAGTCCCTTTCAAGTCTTCCCCCTCTCACCTTAAACCTATATCCTGTAGTTTTGGACTCGCCCACCCTAGGAAAAAGACCTGGGCTATATCACCCAATCCATGCCCCCCCGCCCACCATGATTTTATAAACCTCTACAGATCACCCCTCAGGCTCTGACACTCCAGGTAAAAAAAGCCCAAGCCTATTCAACCTCTCCATGCAGCTCAAACTCTCCAGTCATGGCAACATCCTTGAAACCCTCTCAAGTTTAACAACATCATTCCTATGGATGGGCAACTAGAATTGTACGCAGCATTCGAAAAGTGGCCTCATCAATGTCCTGCAACATGACATTCCAACTCTTATACTCAATGAAGACTAATGAAGACAAGCATGCCAAACATCATCTTCACCACCATGTCTACCTGCAACTCCACTTTCAAGGAACTATGAACTTGCACTCCAAGGTCTCTTTGTTCAGCAACACTTTACCTTCCTCTGCCATGGTTAAA